CTCCAGTTATAGGATATCCATCAGCACTGGTGGTCTTTACGCTGTCTCTGTGGTGCTCACAGCGAGTTTTAAGACGCTCCGGTCGATCTGAATGAGAAAAAAACACAAAGACAGAAAATTTAGGAAAAACAACACACAAACCAGAAAAAAGCATAAATTCATGAGTTGCAAGAGACAGTCTGTCAACATCAGAAGTTTCTGACTGGCAAAGACACCTGTTTGGAAAGTCAAGGGTGAACAGTTCAATTCCACCTGAAATCACAAAGCCCCTCTGGGGTTAAGGCACAAAGAGCTTCTAGTGTAAAGCTATGAACCATATCAAAACCCCTTGTCAGCAGGGACATATATTAGCCCTCGACACAACCCCTTCATGGTTAAAATCAGACTGAATTGGAGTCTTTGCCTTTAAACCAAAGGCATCTTTTGCAAAGGCACTGGTTGACTAGATTTAGCCCAGAATACAATATCCATGGAGTGCTACTGACCTTCCTGCTGAGAGCAGTAGAAACCATTCCCAAAAAACCCCAGCTGACACTGACACTGGAAAGATCCCAGTCCATTAATACATCTGGCATTGATGTGACATGGAGAAGAGCTGCACTCATCTATATCTGAAAAAAAGAAAAAAACAGAAGGAGAGAAAGGAGTCAAAAACCACAACTGGACTGGAAACTGCACTACCAATACAACTAAACACTCACACAAAAAATACTACCTGGCTGCTTAATAGATGTTATTTATTTCAGTGGTGATTTATCAGTAGTGTGATTATCTAAATGTAAAGTATTATACTTAGTTTTATTTTTTATTTTTTGGGGGGGCTCAAAGAAAGTTCATCAAAAGTTCACACTTTTACGTGAAAGGAGGACATGTATGCGCGCACACATTCACAGACAGACACACAAACACACACACAGCCAGGACCTTGCTCCTCCACACATTCCAAAGCAACAAACACATTGTGCCATTGCTCCATTTGTCTTTCCCTTAACCCCCACCCGCCCTGTCTAATCTCACCCTGTCGTTCTCACATTAGTTCTGTTCTCACATTTCTCATCTATCCTCCCCTCTGCCTGTGTTTTCTAGCTTTTTGCAGCTGTGGATGAAGAAATGTTGTAGCTCTGCTTGGACAAACAAGTGAACCTTTTCCAAATATTCAACTCATTTTGGAACTTGGAGGACAAAATGCTCCGAGAATACTTCTCAGGGGGACAGTTAGTCCAGCTGACAATGGATAAAATGCAACAAAGGCAGAATGGAAGAATGATGTTTTTGCCACAAAAAATATGTGTGCACATATTTGGTTAAAATTTGCATTTGCATCAAAGGTACGGTATGTGAAAGCAGACAGGATGCCACAGCTTAAAAAGTCAGCAGAAACCAGCACATTTCTAAGCAGAGATTGATCAAACTGACACGGTGTTATGGCTTTCAGTTGATTTCTTTGCACACAGGGGATATTCTTAAGTGGGATTTCTGAAATGCTAAACATTCGGTTTAGTTGAAATTAACTGTCTGTTCGCTGAAGCTAATCATCAGCCCTCCACCACCGTCATCATCATCATCAACCGAGGGACTGGATCCTCTCTAGAGAAGCAACTGAATAACACCGAGCGCCACAACACCAGTCACCTGGCTAGCCAGCTGACAAATAGTGAAAATTTTCAAAATAAGAGCTCATAAGAAAGGGTTTTCCAACAATAAACTGATGATAGATGATGCAACACATGTCAGTTCTTATGCAGAACAACTGAAAATGTTCACACTTGTTGCTGATGATGTGATTAAACTGATAGGAGGCAGTTCAGAATGTGCAGGCTGCAAGTGTCGCAAGGAAGTTGATATCAGCCCTTAACGTAAACAATCTGGGAGACAAAAGACAAAGAATTCATGCAAGAGATAGCAAAAGAGGTGGACGAGAAGTAAAGGAACATAGAAAAGAAGCACAACATTTTTGGCTTCTAATGAAATTATTGGATACAGTTCCATTGATTGATGTCAAGTCATTCATGTTTCCCTCAGAGCGACCCGTAATAACTGATGAGATCTACTGACTTTGCAAAAAAATTCCCTCTCACATTTTATACAGATGTTCTGTGCATTTCTTGAAGGAATTTCCAAACTCACCAACACAGGTACGCCCATCGTAGCCAAATTCGTAGCCCCTCTGGCAGTGACAGCGGTGACTCCCAGGCAGGTTCACACACTCAGAATTATCCCCACATGTGCCCAAACCCTCAGCGCACTCATCTATGTCTGCAGAGAGGGAGACAAAGAAATTAGCTTTTCTTTAAATTTACAAGTCTGTAAATCAGGAATTCCTTGTCAACACATGTAAAAGCTGTAATTAGGGCTCATTACTGGTGCTTTTACTGTATAAAAAGAAAAAGCAAGGTTTCATAGGACTCTGTGCAGTCTAGTAGTACACCCTTAACAGCTTCTAAAGAATTAAGAGGGTAAATAACAGGCAGGTGCTTCCCTTGATTAAGTGATCATCACCAAGTTTGAGCACCTCTAGAAAAGCAGGGGTTTTGGCAGTTTGCTGTTCTGACACATCCAGGTGTGTGCTAACACTATGCCACAATCTTCCAAGAAGTAAATGTCTAAGGTCAGTACAACTGACGAGCTACAACTCAGACTCTACAGACCTCAGTTAGCATGTTAAATATTAAAGGTTGGTGGAGGAGTGATGATTCAGGGTTAATTTGCAGGACCTGGGGACTTTGTAGCCATTAAGTCGACCAGGATCTTCTCTGCATACCAAAGTATTCTAGACAAATGTCAGGCCATCTGTCTTAGAGCTGAAGCTTGGACATACATTGGCTATGCAAAAGGATAAGGATCTCAAGCGTGCCAACAAATCTACAACAGAAATGCTGAAAAAGAAAAGAATCAAGGTGTTGCATCAAACCATTCGAAGTCCAGATCTTTACCCGATTAATATGTGTGGAGGGACATTAAGAGAACTGTGCATGAACAAATGCCTGCAAACTTCAATGACCTGAAGTGACACTGCAAAGAATAATGAGCCAAAACTCCTCCACAACAACGTGAAATAATGATAAGTCGTAAAGAAAACAATTACTTCAAGTTATTGCTGCTAAACTGAGAAATGGTGGCGAGTCTTGTGCACATTTTTTTTCCTCACATGAATGTAAAATGCATTGTGTAATACAACATGGAGATCATCTGAGCAGAAAGGCGCACTGAGGCCCATCCATGAGAATTTAGGATGAGCCTGGGGCTTTCTTTGCTGTCAGCAGCGAAAAAGACCTGCTGCTGGGCTAATGACAGACCACACACCAGCTTGAAGTCCTGAAGGCCCTTTTAACTTGGAAATTAACCTTGAAGAGACGAATGGAGAGGAAGGATGAAGAAAAGAAAAGAAAAGAAAAGAAAAGAAAAGAAAAGAAAAGAAAAGAAAAGAAAAGAAAAGAAAAGAAAAGAGTGATTACAGACGATTCTGCTCAACCAACCTGTACTTGACCCCTCTACACTGGCTGGACAGATGTTGATAAAACACAGAAACACTGTCTTGGACTTCGACATTTTGTATGCGACAGAAAACGCTAGACTAAACAAAGGCAGAGGAAGCACTCTGAAATGTACATAAACCATCTCATTGCTGCACAGTATATCCACAGAAGAATTCACTCTACGTGCTTGTTCACAGAAGGACCGACACAGACACAGATAGATACCGTAACAGTTGTGCCCATCTCCTGTATAACCAGTAGCACACTGGCACTGGAAAGCCAGGTCCTCTAACGGGATGCACTGGGCTGTGGTGTCACAGTCGTGGGTCCCGGCATAGCAAGGGTTGTGCAGCTCAGGGCCTGGAGCTTCCATTTCATGAGGGAAGAAAAAGAAAGGATTGTGTTTTTAATCACAGTGGATGCAACTTAACAGTGACCGAGAGTGACAGTGAAAAATTACTCTAAGATTCCTAACAGTGCTGCTGGAGAGAGAGGATCCGTTTGGACACCAGGTGTCTGTGATTTTTAGGGTCAAGTACAATAACTCAGTTTTGTCTGAATTTAGAAACAGGTCATCCAGATCTTTATGTCTTTTATTCATACCTACAGTCTAACTAGTTGGTATTTGTCATCTGGTTTCATAGACAGATAAGCTGGGTATCATCTGCATAGCAGAGAAAATGTATGCTATTCCTTCTAATAATACTGGCTAAGGATAGCATGTATAATGTAAATAGAATTGGCTCTTGCAAGGAATCCTGTGGAATAATTAACCTTAGTGTGTGAAGAGGACTTCCCATTTACACAAATAAGTAAGCTTAAGTACTTTTTATATGCTAACTTTCATATAACTCCCTGTAACCAGTGTCTAATATAATTTCCTTATTTAATATAATATATATACTTCTGCCATGGTGGATTTTTCATGTTCAAAGTTTCATTTGAGGTCAGCCTTAAAAATAATTCAATATTTCTTCTATTTCAGACGTTATTTTGTCTTACACTGGCTCTGTATGATGACAAAGAGAGACCATATCCCTGTTATAGTCATCTCAGTCAAATTGTTTTGGCTATGGTTACAGAAGCCCCACCCACTTGCTGGTAAAACCTTCTGTTTAGGAGTAGCAGCCAATCAGACGAAAGATGGCCTAAAGAGCCAAAAGCAGGTAAAATGGCTTGTTTCAGGTAACCTGATGGAACTCGTGCAAAGCTACTCTATTAGAAAAAATTGCTTGTGTACTGTCAGTAATGTCCATTTGATTTCATTTTCTAGTCTTTCAAAGCACATTAAAAGTGGCACCTTCAACAAATGTTAAAAAAGAAAGAATTTAAAGAAGCAGACAATAACATTAACAGACATTAGAATCTGAAAATAAACTGCATTAGACATAAAAGAGCAACATTGTTAAAGCTGGTGTGAGAAAATTCAACCAGACAACCACACAAAATCTGCTACACACCAAATATCCTGAACTCAGATCAACTGAGGTCTGGATTATTTAGTGAAACTTTAGTGATTAGGGCAATGATTACAGGGCAAGTTAACCAAACACACATGTAAAATCACTCCAGACAAACTCCCACAGGACGGACTCCTCTTAGGAAGCAACTCCCTTCATGTTCTCTATGTTCAACATATGGACAAGCTTAGACGCATATGGGGGGTAGACACATGGACAGAGGGATGAGTGAGCGGATGTGAGTTCAGGGTTTCTTCATACTGCTGCGTGGCTCAGACACACAATTTCAAAAACAAACCTCAGACGAATTTTGAGAAAATCAGAAATATAAACAAAAGAGCAAAGAAAACCATGGGGGGAAAAACAGAAATGTTAAAGATGAATAAATATGCTTAAAGTTCAAATTTGCTCTGTACAGCAGGATACAGCAATGATCCTGTTATAAGAATGCTCCAACTCTTATTTTTTTGTATTATTATAACTTTAACATTAAGCAATATTATAGTGTCGTTAAAACAAGTCTCAGCATCTTTGATCGATAACTTTGGTCTCGTGTCATGTAAAAATATTATCTAATGTAAAATAGCCCACACTGCTCAGGCATTCTTTAAATATTCCTTCTACCCACACAATTTAAATATTGGCCCAAATATGGAATTTAGATTCGGCTCAAACACAAACCTTCAGTGTCTGCATGGTTTCGCTTTTATTTCAAGGACATCTATAGTTAGTCGGCTCCAGTTGGCTGGGATGTAAAATATTCTCAGTTATGCACATGAACACATCTGTTATAATATCTGTTTTTAATAATCTTAGAGTGTTTCATGCTGGACTTTTGCTTTACTGTCAGCTTCATCATATGCCATAA